GGTCAGGAAGATGAAATTGGGAGTGATATGCCCAATATCTAGATAAGGTGGTATTCCATCTAATTAGCTAGTATCAGAAAACTTTGGCATGTGAATACTGAAGCAGTAGTATTTATACTTTATAACTACACTAACTGATTTTCTGGAGCATTCAATGATGGTAGTGAGAGAGAGAAAGGGAGAGAGGGAGGGAAAGAAGGAGGGAGAGAGGGCCACTAAATGCAAAGGATAAGAAACGAGTTGAGAATGACATGATGCTGGACTATGACAGTATCTGCAGAAATAGATCATGAAAGAGGAAATAATATTAGGTGGAAGATGATTGGTTTACTGAATAAGTTTTGTTTGTGATAAGGGCAAGTTGTATATAAGAACTTAATTATAAGTGAGAAAAGGAGATACAAATTTGGGATTAATGCTCAGTAGTGGTAATGAGTTCCTTAAGCTTGTAATTATAGGAAGAGAGAATCATCTTGTTGAAGGAAACATATATAAAGGGATGGGCAAAGGGCTGATGACTGACACCTGTTTATGGTAGAAGACAGAAGACAAGTTATTAAAGGACTATATCAAGAATCTCTTGTGACTAGCATACCGTCCTTTTTACCATACGTATGTTACCTCTTTTTGTTACAAATGAATGCCTCAAAAACCACGTCATGTGTCACCACTTTTGTTCCATTTGACTTTATCCTTGGAGAATATCTGCCACAATAGCCGTTACCCTCTTGTTTTTTGTACACCTTTCCATTATTTTTTTCTGAATTCATTCACTCAGAGAATATTGTAAAAAAAATGTTGCATATTTCTTCTTTAGCTGTAACAGTCTGACTTAATATATCCTCATTCTTCTCTAAAACCAATTCTGTTGGACTGGCTTATACTCCCAAGTAAGCTTGATACATCAATGTATGAAGTATTGTCTCACAAACTCCAGAGCTTTATGGAGATCTATAGTTCTGTTAATGTTTCTATGAGGGTTTATAGAGCAATTGGGTCAATAGAAACTATTTAAGTCTAGAAAGTTTATTTATTTGATTTTGTAAAAACTTGGTTATAATTCAGGGTTGGTATTTTTAGAGAGTCCTGAAACTCTACAACAGCTAGGTAATAAGATCTTTCTGTGTTGGCAAATGGAATGCCTTAAAATATATTCTATCCAGGTCTTCTATTACTTGGGTCTATAAAAAGGATACTGTATGCATTATTTCTGAAAATATTTTATGTGTATTCAGTCAGTTAATAAAGCATTTATTGACTGCTTTCGTATGCTAGATATTCTAGTAAGCACAGAGAACACAAAGATGAATCAAACAGCATTTGCAAACTGAAATAGAACCTGCCTTCTAGAAAGCAAGACATACAAAGGAATGGAAAATTGTAGTATAGAGTGCTAGTGCAGGTATTATAATATATAGAGAGAGTGTGTAGGGCTTGTGCACAGAGCGCCTACTGTAGTAATGAGAAGAGGAGCAGCTGTCCTAGACCTGGAGGGTGCAGAGTAGGAGTTTGTCAGGTGAATGAGGGCAGGGAGCAAGAAGGACATTCAATGTAGAGGAGCAACTGGTGCCCAGGCCAGGAGCCGAGATGATGGGTTCTGGTAGAACGTGTGAGAAGCTCAGTGTGCTTGTAGCAGAGTGGTAAGAGGTGAAGCTGTAGAGTTGAGTGAGGGTCAGATCATGATGCACCTTGCCTTTTCAACTATGTGTATAGCTCCAGTTTTGCTCCTGGGGAGTTTCCAAGTGCCTTGAAAGGCTGTGAATACCATAATAAGACATCTGGAGCTCTTCCTAAGATGTTGGCAAACTTTGTGGGGACAGAAACATAAGTTTGTGCCTTAGAAAGAAAATTCCATTTTCTTAAAGGAAATGGATCATAAGGAATAGAGGCAGAGCGGCCAGTTAGTAAGCTGGCTACAGTTAGTCAGGTGAGAAATGCATAATGAGGTGCTGAATTAAAACAGAGACTTTACTGATGGAAAGAAGATATAAAATAAGTATGATCAACATGCTTTGCTAATAAATATTTTCACAATGAATGAATTGTGACTAATTAGATGTATGGGGTGAGGGAGAAAGAGAGGTCAAGGATAAATTACAGGTTCAGGCTTGGGAAACTACGTGGGTGACAAGAAAAGTCATTGCTTGGATGATGAATGCATTCTTTCTGAGTTCTTTGTCATGGAATAGTAATTCCTGTGTGTGGATTAACCTTAACTGTACAATAAATCTTCTGAGAGTAAGTCAATGTCTTCCTTTTTCCTTATAATTTTTCTAGCACCAAGAACAGTACTGATCACACAAAATTGGACTCTAATTCAGTGAATCCAGTATATGGATCACCCATCTGTGAAGGATGGCCTTAATTGATTTTTTTTCGGTTTCTTTTTTTGGGATTTTGTTGGGATTCTTTGGTTGCAAGCAACAGAAACTGCCACCCACTAACATGAACCAGAGAGAATTGTGGTGAGTTACTGGAAGTTCTCAGAATTAATATAAAGTCTGGAGAAACAGGCTTGGAAATAGGCTAGAAGGAAAGTAGATGCAGAAAACTGAGCAAGAACCAAAGGAAATATCCTGTAACGTGAAGGATCTAGTCAGGAAACAGATGAACTGCACAACTTTCATTCCCTTGATCCTTTGCTCAAAATTCAAATTCCAGAGACCTTTGAATTAATGCCTGTCTTGAACAACATCTCAGTTGCTTAGCTAGCAGAGGACTGGGTCCCTAATTAGAGTCCCACTAGAAGGAAAGTGGGTAATTCCTCTAACATTTTGGAAATCACGGTGCTTTTAGGAAAAGAAAAAAATGCTAGCTGGTCAAATAATTACAAATGTCCCTTTTAATCTCATTCTAGCTTTTACTTTTTTCTGTTTAGAAAATTCTTCAAAACAGAAACAATGCCTGTGAACCACAGGCATGAGAAATTCATTTTCTGGCTAGAAAGAACTTGGATCTTTTTCAATTTAGCTGCTCTTTTTGATAAAAATTTAATCTATTATTTAGCTTCTAGATGGTAAAATGGACATTTTAAAAAAAACAGGACACAAGCAATAAACCAATGAGATACAGTAAGAAAGTCCAAACTTGGAAGGAAATATTAGATAGATTTTTTTCAGGAAAAAAATGAAATAGATTGGGGTGGGGGTGGGTGGTAGGAAAGAAAACATGTGAGAAAAGGGAGGAACACCCACAGAAGACAAATCCAGCCTTATTTGGATAAACTTCAGAGTGACAGTCAAACCAAATCTCTAACTCTTGAGTGTCTGGAGAAACACCCTCCACTAATTACAGGACTCAGGTATGGAAGAAGCCGCTTCAGGGCTGTGGGGCCTGAATCAGGCTTCCTGATGGTGGCTTTTCAGATGTGGCTATGTTGTTTGTTTGGTGGTAGAAGCGAGTTTAAATTTACTCCCACTGGCCTTGGTGGTGGCTGATATTTCTTCCATCTCTAATCTCTGTCCAGAGCTAGGGAGGCGCTTGTGCCAACAATGTCTCTGTTTGCCATGCCAGACAGTCCTGGTGCTTCAGAGTCAAAGCACCATGGAGGATGTTTACGTAAATGCGGGAAGCAGGATGATAGCCCTATTTGAAGTTTTACTTAGATATCACTGTGAGCATTCACAGCCCCATCCATTTGTAGAAAATAAGTTAATCGAGACACTTTTATGATGGATTCTGAAAACTGTGGAAGGATTTTAAGTTGGTCTATATTTGAAACCAAAGTTTGGGTGTTGCTTCTATTTCCCTTCATGTCTAATACTTTTTTTTTAGAAAACAACAATTTTTTTTTCTGCAAAGATGAGTTCAACCTTGAGAAAGCCTGCATTCCTTTATAGGGTAAAAAAGAGATGAAACATTAGATATGATTGGTGAAAAGTACCTTTTGAAAACCCAATTAGCATTTTCTTTAAGAAGTGTGGATCTTTTATTGTATTAGACATGTTATAGACTGGATTAATACATTTGTACAGCTGATGTTATAAGTTACTCTAGAACTTTCAGGTTTTTCTCTTCTTTTTCCAAGCTAGAGAGATGTCCTAGAAAATAAGTAATGAATTATAATTCATTTCTTTCCATTTATTATTTTACTTCTTGTGGATGTGATTTTTCCCCCTTTTTTAAGTAGAAATGATGATTATGGAAGAGCAGATGGGAAGGGGTAATTCTTCAAAACTTGGAAATCAGAGAGCAGAACTGCCTAAGCAGTAACTTTTTTTTTTTTTTAGATTTACAGAGAGCTTTTATTCAGATATAGAGAGGGGACTTTCAGGATAAGAGGAAATATAGAGCTCCCCGCAGGTGCAGAGAGGGACAAGGTTGCTGCTTGGGGTCTCGGTGTCTAGGGTTTTATGCTCGCTGCAGCAGGAGTTTTCTGTAGATTCAGCCAGAACTAAGCAGGAACTTTTAACTATTTTAATTTGTCACACAGAAAAAGACCTGACATATTCCTTCTGCTTCAGAAATGTTTTCCTATCCTTACTGCTATACACTGTCAGGGATGATATTCAGCATATTAAACATTGATTTGTGAGTTGGACTAGACAACCATTTAAATATTTTCTAAAAATGAATATCTTATATTACTACTATGGTCAAAGATGTGAGCCAGGCTTGGATTTGCATGCTGGTCTCAACTATAGAATCAGCTACTATCCATAAGTTTCAAACAAGTGGACTTTTGTAGACCTATAACTATATATACTACTGATGCAGAAAACACTGGAAATATCACTTTATCAGTTGCTTTTTCATTTAGTTGTTCTTAAGAGACTTATGAGTGTGTGCATGTATGTATATACATATAGATTATGCATGTATGCATACATATATATATGTATGCATACATGTGTAACTATTTAATGTATTTTATGTATGCATCACTAACAAAGATCTGACAGCTCTAATGAAGAGTGATCAAATGGTTTTAATACTATGCTATCCTAAAAGGAAGACTTCGGTTGATTATCAAAATACTGCTTTTCCAACCCATTTCACAGGGAATACAGTGAAATACGGCAAGTTATACCACTTTGGCTTAGCTCCTTCATCTACATACTCTGCTTTTTTGTGGCACAGGTGAGATGAGCAGGTAGGTGGAGATTGAATGGAGTGGAGTGTAGGTGGATCCTTTTGTATCTTGTAAGCCCTTATTCCAGTCTGGGAGGGAGGATATGATCGATGTGAGTTACTGTCCCATAAGTGGCAATCAAGTTATCTTCTGCTATGGAATATAGAATGGCATGTTTGTGATGAAAACTTAATAATTCTTTTTGGTCAAATTTTTACAAGGACTTACTTCAGCATTTCCTTCGTCATCTCTACCTTCCTTTCAGGCTGTCATTCATGAAGTGTGATGAAACATATGTGATAACTTGGAGAAATTCCTTGAACTAAGTTAATTCTGACTACTACTGGCAACAAAATTTCATGACTGTGCATTTTTTTGAGATTATGCATGTGAGGTATGAAATGAAAGTTATTGGACTCGTAGTCATTTTTAGTTATCTGCCAAAATGAAAAAATTTATTCCCTGAGAAATGCCTACAAAGTTGCATTGTATTCATGATTATATTTCCCACTGACTTTTCATGGACAGTAGGTGTTTTTGATCTTAGAAGAATGAATTCTCAACTATAAGAAGTTTTCAGATCCAGCTTTCTTCTGGTGTGTGATAAGTGGACTTTGCGTGAATTTTTTTTTGTTTTTACAAGGCTGAAGAGGTAGTGGGAAAAGTTAATCATAAGAAAGTCTTAAAATCTTGCTTTATTTTTCAGAATTTACATTTCTTGTGTTGCTGTGTCTTGATTTAGGTGGGACAATACCATTTGTATTTATTTGGAATCTGAGAAGTTTACACCAAATTTTTCAATCTGATACTTATGTCAAAACTGTTTTGAAATCTCTACATTCTTCTCATGGGTTCATTATCTATTCATGCACAGTGAGCACATCATTAATATATGGTGGCACATATGGAAACTGAGTGGTAATATCAGGTTAAAGTCATAGAACATTCCAGAGAGGCTAAAATTCTAAATAAAAACAGCTTAACTCAGAACACTCTTCAGTAGGTGATGATTGTTTTGGCTTCTGCAGTAGCCTCATTCATGATTTGCCATAAAAAGCTTGTAAGAAGTAAAGTTTCAAAAAAATTTTGCAAAAATTTCATTGATTGTCAGCATTAAACTCATTGATTTTCAGAAAGTCATTCTTTGGTCCTAGTGCTACATTGTCCAATGCAGCAGCCTTTAGCCACACATGACCACTGAGGGCTTGAAAGACAAGCCCTCACTAGCTAGCTAGTGAGATAGAGGAACTGAATTTCAATTTAGCTTAATTTTAATTCTTTTAAATTTAAAAACTGAATATAAAATATCTCACTAATAATTTATATAGGTCATATGTGAAGATAGTAATACTTTGGATATATTGGGTTAAATAAAGTACATTATCAATAGTAATTATACCTGTTGCCTTATGATTTTTTGTTAGTATGACTACCAAAAAGTTTAAAATTATATATGTGGCTTTTGTTATATTTCTGTTGATATCCCAATTCTTCTTTGTACTTGTTAATGGCTCAAAGATGTCTAAATTACTTAAATGTGGTCTCTTCTCATTTTTCCCCTTGAAATGATGGCTGTATGTGTGTTTTAATTAATTAATTTAATAGCTGGCTTAAGAAATGACTCTGATTCTTCTGTACAATTTCCTAGTTCCTCAGAGGGTTTCTTATCCTTTCTGAGAACAATTTCACTGTCATTAAGTTCTCAGGAGTCACCTAATCCCCACAGAATCCTTCCTCCTTGGCCCCTCGAATTCTCTGGGCTAACCCATGTGATGGCCATGTGTATGACATAACAAATTTTTTTGCTTGTATTTCTGACTCAATAGTGCCTACAAGACCTCTTAATTAATTCTGTGTGCCTCATTGCAGCTAATATATTGGCTCCTCCAGATTTCTGCACTTGGCCTTAAACCTCTGCTCTCCCTTCTGGTCACATCCTGGGTGCACTTGTAGATCCTGACCTCACTTACTTCCCAGGGCTTTCCTCTGAAGGTCGCTTCCTAAGTCACATCTTCCCAAACCTACACCCTGACTCTGGGAGTCTACGATAGTACCAGGCTGCATGTCAAGGCATTGCTGCTGTTTTAGACCATTCTAGGTACTGGATACACTGGATAAGAGGACCTGGCATCTGACCTCATGTGACCCATAGTTTAATTTAGTTGGGGAGGAACAAAAAAACCCTACCTGTGGAACCTGTGTTGCCCACAAGCACAGATAAGGGAAGTGCCAGAGAACTTTGTCCTCCCTAGCAACAGATCTCAGCTGATGCCTGATGCACAGGGAGGTGCAAATACTCTGTCTAAGCTAAGCTACTCTAGCTGTGTCCTACACGGAGTGCAGAGTGCCACTCAGTTACTCAACTTAAGTTACACTTTGTGAGGCTTTGTTGCTACATTCTCCTTCCTTTTCTGATTCTATATCTTCACTTCTTTACTACTGTCTTAGAAAAATTTCAAAAATATCGCTTTCTCAAATATCCTCACCTCAGCATTAAATATATCATTTGGGGCCCTGGAATTGGTCTTGGAAGCTGACATCCAGAATGAGATTCTGGAATTGCATTCACCACTCAATGTTCAGATGGCAACAGAGACCCTGTTGTTTGCGGGCAGTGAAGGGGTGGTATCTCTGGCCTGCGGTGGCAGTCCAGCTGTCACTTTTATCTGAGGTGAGTGGGGAAGGGATACAAGTGAAAAGAGATGCACTGGACTGTACAACATCTATGTAATTTGACAGTTATAACTATAAGCAACATGGAGTTGTTTGGCTGCCTGTAATTGATATAATAGTGTAGAAAGAAAATACTGTACTTTCCTTGGCTGGTTACCAGTTCATGGGGGAGGAGGAGATCAAGAATTCTGTTTTATGAATGTTTAGTTTGTGTCCAAGGGAGATTTCAAGGGGGGTTAACATGTCTGCAGATGGGATCAAAGCTAGAGATAGCAGTTTTCAAATCCTCACTATATATAGTCAACCCTTGAACAGCATGGATTTGAACTGCACTGATCCACTTACCTTCAGATTCTTTTTCAATAAACATGTTGGGAATTTTTTTCGAGATTTGCAGCAATTTAAAAAAATATTTCCTTTTCTCTAGCTTACCTTGTTGTAGTAATACAGTATCTGATACATATAACATTCAAAAGATGTGTTAATTGACTGTTTATGGTATCTGCAAGGCTTCCAGTCAATGGTGGGCTATTAGTAGTTGGATTTGAAGGAGTCAAAAATTATATGTGGATTTTCAACTGAGGAGGGGTCAGCACCTCTAACCCCTGTGTTGTTCAAGGGTCAATTGTACATGGTATTTGATGCAATTTATATTAATTACAGCAAACATCAACAATTACTAAGGGCCATTTCAAGAAGAAAAGAATATTGAATAGATATTGGGAAACCCACAAAACTGCAAGAAAGGCTGAGAAAGAGGCTCAGGAAACTGTCAAGAATGAAGGAGGCTGGCAGACAGCCGTGAACTCCACAGACAATGGTAATGCCACACATCCTCTCCAGAGAGGACACTGCTGATGCCACCAGCAAGCAATGTGGTGTCTCAGCATAGACAGCCTCCACCCATAGCTCTGATTCCCCAGCACCACGGTGGGCACCATCACCACTGGTGCCCTGTGAAATGCACAGTGGCCATAAAATGGATTCCATACCATCTCTGTTTCTATATATCACAGGCTCTAAATATGAAGATTGGTGGATTCTTCTAGCTGGACAATTGAGGCCATGTGCCCATGTGTTATGCACCAGCCACCAGAAAGGTATGTGCCTTCTGAATCTCAGGAGGATGTTTCAACAATCAACCACAGTGTTTTGTGCATCATGCAAGTTCTTTCCTTTTTGTTTCTGAGTAGTATTCCACAACATGGGTATATAACAATTTGCTTATATTTTAAAATATCCTTGTCTTCATCAAGTTCTCATATGTTTTCTTTTGGAAGCTTTGTAGCTCTAGTTTTGACATTCAGGTTTATGATCCATTCATTGAGAACAATTTTGTGTGGTATGAAATATGTATTGGAAGTCTTTTCTTCCACTTACATATCAAGTTAACCCACCATTTGTTGAAAAATTTCCTGTATCCATTGTATTTCTTTAGCATATTTATTGAAAAGCAAATGACTACATATGTGTGGATATGTTTTTAAAATTTCTATTTTTTTCCACTGAAAAACATATTTATACATTTAAAAATACCACCCTGTCTTGATTACTGTAACTTTATGGTAAGTCTTGAACTTAGTGCAATTTCTCTAGCTTTCTTCTTCTTTTTTCAAAAAATCCATTCTGGTTATTCTGATCCTTTGAAATTTGAACAGAAATTTTGAACCAGTTTGTTAATTTTTATTTTAAAAAACCATATGTCTCCACTTATTTTTCTTAATTTCTGTTAGTAATGTGTCATAATTTTCAGTACAGAAATCTGCATGCCTATACTTATAGCCATACCTAAACATTTTATGTTCCTTTGCTACTGAAATTGGAATTTAAAAATATTTCATTATCTATTGTTTGTTGCTAGAATATAGAATTACACTTGATTTTTTAAAATATAGACCTTTAATATTGCATCCTGTGTTTGTGTATTATTGTAAATTTATCAGGATGTTTTAGGTAGATTTTTTTGTAGATTCCTTTACTTTTTATGAGTGCTACCATACTGTCTTCAAGTAAAGACAGTTTCTTTTTATTCCACTCGCTAAGAGTTTCCTATTCATTTATCATGAATAAGTGTTGAATATTGCCAAATGCTTTCCCCCTGTTTATTGAGATAATGTATCATTATACCCTCTTCTCTATTAATGTGATGAATTACCTTGATTGCTTTTGAACTATTAACTACACTTGTATTCACGTGATAAATATTAATTTGTAATTATATGTTAACTTTTTTATTGCTAGATTAGATTTGCTAATCTTTGGCAAGGCTTTTTGTGTCTGTTTATAAGGGACTTTGGAAGTTTTCTTATATTATTTCTGAATGCTTTTGGCATCTGAGCA